TTTTGTGCAGGTTCTATATTAAGTTCCTCATATTAGAAAATATGCACAGAAGGCTTTTAGAGGCAAAAGAAATATCTCTTCATGTAACTGTGATGGTCAAAGACCTGTTGCTGGTGCAACCACTGCTGGAATCCAGTAAGCAACACTGGGGTCCACAATATAAAAGGGTGTTGAAAAAGCTGGAGAAAGCACAAGAATGACTGAAGGAGGGAAACCATGTCTTAAAGAGAAAGTATCAAGCTCCTTTTAGTGAAAGAGAAAGTTAAGGGGGAATTGGTCACAGTCTATATGTAGCCATACAATGAACAGCCAATGGAGACAATTCTCTGTCTAGGCAAGATACGGCACTACCTGGTGGCTGGCAGCTGAGGTTAGTCAAACTTAGAATCTAGAATGAAATGCAATTTTTAACGTCAGGGTCCTCCTGCATTGGAACCCATTCCTAGGTTGTGGTCCATCACTAACTAGATGTTTTTTCTAAAAGATCTATTCTACTTCAGACAGGAATGAATTTGGGGAAGCCCTATGGCTGAAGTTATGCAGGAGGTCAGGCTAGATGATCACGAGGTTTCCTGCTTTGCTGACATAATTGATCAATTCTAGTGCACGATATACCTGCCCTACATATTACAAGACTTGTAACATATTACTCCTGTTAGGAATAAAAATTAGGTTATCGTTTCTACTTTTTCCACTGCGGCAATTAAAGGAATTCTTTCCTCCTATCTATATTTCTTGCAAACTATTTTAGAAGTAAAATAGCTAAATAGAGAGAAACCTTTAGTGCTAAAGGAAGGATTTTTTTCCCCCTCCAGTATAACATTTGTTTCAGGCTGAAATGATGACTAAGGAGGGTTGAACAATTCCCAGGACAGCTTGCATTTGGTTTTTTTGCAGTGCAAAGCTGGCCCTTCTTTCATTACTGATAACAGATTTATGACTTTAGGCGTTGGCTCTTTTATCAATGCTATGTTTTCAGGCTTCATTAAATGAATAGACTTTCAACTGCAAAAAACAAAGAGCTGAATCAGGAAGGCAAATGGCCTTTGTGTATGCAATTTCATATTCACTTTTCATTTATTTTCCTAATAAGTTTATTAAGTATTCCTTTGTGGTAACCTGCTCCTTAAAAAAAAAAGGCTTCTCTTTACTGTAGTTAAAGCATATATATTCTTGAGGGAAGCAGACAGAATTTTCCCCATTGTTTTCCCATCATGTTTGTTTTCACTACTACTTCTAAGAGGAAAAGCTCTTTGCAAAAACAGGAAATAGCAAAATCCTTTGCACTATAGTGCCACACACACAATGAGTGTACATGTTTTAAACCTAAACTTCAGGAAAAGTAGTAGCATGTACTAAAAGACCATCAATGGGAGTTTTCCCATTGACTTGAATGGTGGCAGAATTAACTCCTTTATGAGTAAGACTCATTGCCTTATCTGAGTTCAGGTGGGATTTAACTAATTATAATCCGCCTATGTAACAATCTCTCTATAAAATCAATTAGAGACAAAATTGGTTATTTTCAGTACTAATCTGGTACCTGGGGCTGCTGTGTGCTGTGAAGCATTTGCAAATGCATCCATTTGCACCCCAGAGATGGACGCATTTCAGTTTATAGCAAATATAGCATTTACAAATCTACTAGGTAAAATCTTAGGGCACTTGTACCTGTGACAGGGGTCTAATCCCCAAGCCTTTATTCTATGCCCCTAAATTGAAATGGTGGAGCATAGAATAAAACCCTGTGGACTATGTCAAAACCCTTGTATGATTAAAGTCCTGAAGAGCAAGAAAAGGCTTACAGATACGGGGCTGTTCAGCCTAGAAAAGAGAAGATTTCAGGGGGATTTGGTGGCAGTTTATAAATATATCAGGGGAGAGCATCAGGGGCTAGGTGAACAACTAGTCACCAAAGCGCCCCAGGGGAAAACACAGGAGCAACCCTCCTAGAAGAAGGTTTCAGACTGGATATAAGGAAAAACTTCTTCATGGTTCATGTGACCAGACTGGAATGGACTCCCAGTGGGGGTGGTGCAGGCACCTACCCTGGAGATCTTCAAAAGGAGACTGGACGTGTACGTTGCTGGGGTTATTTGACCCCAGCAGTCTTTCCTGCCCAGAGGGGGGGAGGTGGGGGCTGGATCTGATGATCTCACAAGGTCCCTTTCAGCCTTAAACTTCTGTGAATCTGTTAACCATTTCAATTTTTCCATCGTGTTACAGTGAGGGGCCCAATCCTTTTTTGGGTTGTTTTTTTTTGTTGGTGTCAGAGCCAGAGCCAAGCAGCCCCTGAACTGCAGGAGGCCTTGGTCCTTCCCACTACAGCAGTGGTGCCCCCTGGGCCCATCCAGATGGGCTGCTAGTGGGCCAGGTGCTGCCCCAGCTCAGAGCTTGGGAGCAGTGCCCGGCGGGCTTCCAGCAGACAGCCTCCCAGTGAGTGGGCTCAGGGAAGAGTTGGATCGAGCTGGGTGCTGCCTCCAAGCTGGGACAGCACCCAGCCCGTTAGCAGCCTGCCCAAGCAACCCCAGGGGCACCGCCACTACAGAGGGAAGGCCCAGGGCCCCCCACAGCTCATGCCGGCAGCATGCCCCCCCCACAGCCATGGGCAGGCTCCACTGAAAAAAAAAAGATCGGCCCCTCTACCTTCAGGCTTCTGCTGAAAGCAGAAGCAGTGAGGGGCACAATCCTTCTCTTTGGTGGAGCCTACCTGCCTCTCCTGTGGCCAGGGGGCGAGCTGCCAGGGGGCCAAGCACCCCATGAGCTGTGGGGGGCCCTGGTCCTTCCCTCCACAGTGGCGGTGCTCCCCCAGGGCTGCCCAGGCAGGCTACTAGCAGGCCGGGTGCTGCCCCAGCTTGGAGGCAGCACCCAGCCCCATCCAACTGTTCCCTGACCCCGAGCAGGGGCAGCACCCAGCCCACCAGCAGCCCGCCCAGGCAGCTCCGCGTGGTGCCACCACCATGGAGGGAAGGACCAGGGCCCTCCACAGCTCAGGGGCCAAGCGGCTCACCCCCGGTTGTGGGAGAGGCGGGCAGGCTCCCCCCAAAAAAAAAAAAGGGATCAGGGCCCTCACCACTTCTGCCTTTATCAGGCACCTGCTGAAGGCAGAAGCAGCGAGGGGTCCAATCCCTCCCTGAAGCAAAACCTCTTCAAAAAGGAGAATTAGAAGATGGGAAAGGAACCAAAAGAGAAAAATGGGAGAAAATCTGGAGGGCACCTTTCAACCAAGCCCATCATCACAGACACGGGCAGAATGAGCAGGGGGCACTTTGGCAGGAGGCAAGGGCTGTTGTTTCATTTGTATGCAGCCCAGCACGATGATGTCCTGGTCCAAGACTATGGCTCCAAATAAATAATAATAAACTGCTTCCCTATCATCTTTGGCAAGCCCTGCTGATGTTTAGGAGGCTGGGAACCCTGCAGACTCATTTCCTGTGGAATGTATCAATGTTTCCCTGGAGTCCTGCACATCTGACTTTTGCACAGAGACCCTAGGACTGTCCCTGAGGCACTGGTGGGAATGCAATACTTCACTGCATTTCAGCTCTACTTTAGCTCCTTTTTAATGTATGTATCCAGCAGTGCGCTTTTTTGTTCAATAGACAGTTACCCTGTTTATTTCTCTTTCCTTGTCTATTTTCCATTTCTTAAGCCCCAAGGCAGCATAACCAACTACAAAAAGCCATTTGACTTAAGTCAGCAAAAACTTATGGGCTGCTTCTATTGTGAAGCACATTTTCATGGGTTAATATAAAGAGGAGATTAACGATCTCAGGCTTTTCTCTTCCCACCCTTCCAAACTGCAAGTGTTCACACTTCACAAAAACAGTGATGAGCATTTTTCTGGTAACACACCAAAATAAATCAAACACATGCTGCCTGGAGATCCTACCTTTCTCTAATTAAGAGATCCGGCTGTAGTCAGTAAGCAGGTTCTTTGAATCCAACACTAGCAGCAGAGAGGTCAGTAAAACAGCAACTTCAAGTTTATTCTGACAAAAGTCTGAACCATGTTTGCAGTTCTAGTCACATTTGTCAGAGCTTACCATTTTACCCTTAACCTGGGCTGACTATCTTCATTTTCAGATATCATTACTAGATTGCGTCAGTAAAAAATTATACAAAATCCAGTACATTGCAAAGGTATGGAGAGACTGAAATAGCCTGAATAGGCTTCCTCATTTGAATTAGGTAATGAAAGAAAAGCAACGAATCCAGTACATTGTTGTGGAGATACGTATTACCCAGACTGAAGCTTAATTAGATGGTGTTCTAGATTGAATTAAGAGATGTGACTATTTAAATAAGAAGGATATGTATTAATTTCTTCTCTGATCAATTTAGTCTTGATTACCAAAAGAAGGTATTATCTTCCTATGATTTCGGTAACATCCCAAATGATAATCAAATAAAGTGAATCAATGCTAAAATTATTACCTTGTGCAATCATATGCTGGCATTCCATGCTACTTGAAACAATGTGTCTCATTTCACTGGGATACATGAATGCCTTACATTTAAAAATATATTTGCTTTTTCTTAACAAACCCAGATAGCAGGACAGGCAACACAGACTTGATAGAATGGATTATGCCTGACGTGACTTTGTAAAAACACAGCATCCTCCAGTTGTTGCATACCAGGAATTGTTGCCCTAAACAATGCTTTTCTCGAGACCTCATAACAGATTGCACTCGCCAAAAAAGCGATGCATTGTGCAGTTTGTGTTAATCTCCAGATTCATCTTCAGACTTTCTTACCCACCAAGGGAAACTCTTAACAAGGTTTTACTTTGCCCCCCCAAATTGTGAGCTCTCTCTAAGCACATTGTAGATCTACTAAAGCTGAGCTGCTCTGAGCGTCAGACTACCACACCCCACATTCTGCTTTCTGAAGGTGAGCATAGAAAACGATATGGGAGGGAAAGAATTGGGAGTTCCTAGCAGAAGAGTAAGCTTATGTGCAAAGTCCCAGTTAGAATACGTCCCCCTTCCACTTACCTGGCTGAGAAATAAAGAGAAACAGCCCAGAGCCCCTGCTGAATCCCAAGGCAGTCTCGGCTCTGACTGTCCTACTCCTCCAAGCTCAGTTGCCGCGTTACAGATTCCTTTGTACTGTCCGGTCTCGTGCGTTCCTGGAAAGGGATCTGATGAAAGTGCTGATGTTTAGCTGCTGAATTACTGTTGTCTGAGCAGCAGGAGGTCACCAGACTGCTGGTTTGATCTTCAATTCATTTTCCAGCTGAAAAAAAAGACGAAAATTAACTCTTTCGTGTCTTCCAAATCTCTCTAAAGCCCAACCTCTGAGAATACCTGGTTTGAGTTAAATCTGTGCCCCACCCCTTATGTTAGAAGGGAGGGGTAGGTCTTGTATTTTTTACAGCAGTAAAGTTTAGAAGAACAGAAACAGCTCACCTGGTGAAAGCCGGGACATTATTTTAAGACTTGGGGCGCAATTCTGCAATTACTTGGATGTAAAGCTGGATGAACCACACCAAAGCCAATAGGCATATACTTTGCTATGGGCAATTTTACTAGGGAGCCAAATCCTCAAAGCCTTGTGCTATTCCACACAATCCTTTCACAAACAAATCCCCATTGAAGGCAGTGGGTATATTGTGACCTTCCCTGGAAAAAGGCTGAGGAAGAGGCCCTGGAGAGGGCAGTTCTTCTCTGTTTCCCTTCCAGAATTTCCTTCCCTTGGGGAACAGAGTTTCTGGGAAGGGTGGGATTCACTCCCAGGAGCAAACCCAAGGATTTGTGCACGTGCTGAAGCTAATGAGGGATTGACACTGAAGGCTTGTGTCTCCACTGTAGCCAAGGCTGTGTGCCATGATGACACCACTTCATGCTCTTGGCTTTCTAGCTTTTTATGCTCACGTCAGAGCGGCATCCATAGAGATGGGGCTACAGACATATGCAAATTAATGAACGGGCAAGCTGGGCATGAGCCCAAGGGGCTCTACTTATTCGGGGCCCCGGGATCCTTATTAGCAGGGAAGTGAAAGCCACAGTTTTAAACTCGGCGCCCTTTTTTGGTGCCAAGTTTAAAACTACGGCTTTCATATTTGCTTCCCTGGGAGCTGAAAGTGGGGCCCCTCACCAATGGGGCTGGGGGGAAGAGTGGGCAGGGCTGGGGTCAGGCAGGGAGAGCTGGGTGGAGGGGGACAGGCTGGGTGGTGTTGCGTCTGGGGAGGAGGGGGCTGAGCCGGGCTGGGAGAGCTGTACCGCACCTGGCAGGGGGGTGGTTAGGGCTGGACCAGCCAGGCCAGGAGTGCCACACCACGCTGCACCTTTGCAGGTGGCAGTGCTGGGAAGGACTTGGGGGCTATAGTCCCCCCAAATTCATCTTAGCCCCCCCACGGCCATCCTTCCCAGTGCTGCTGGCCACCTGCAGAGACACAGTGCAGCGTCCTAGCTCAGCCCAGCCCAGCCCAGCCTTCTGTATCGGTGTGGCTGCATGGGACAGCTGGGCAGCAGCTCCCTGCAGGTAAGTGTAACAGGGGACCGGGTAGGGAGTGAGACTGAGCCGCAGGCAGCTCACACGGGGGAGCAGGATGCGGAGAGCTTCCTCCGTGTGATCGAGAATATGTGTGTGTGTATCTGTCTGTCTGTCTATGTTCATGTGCAGAGAGTGAGAGTAGAGTGTGCACACCTGTGTCTGTGTGCGCCTGTGCGTGTGAATAGGTGTGCGTACACTCGGCCGTAGCAGGGGCAGGGAGCAGGGAGAAGAGGCGGGCATGTGCCCCCCAGCCTGGCAGGGTCCACGCAGCCTCCCTTGCCAGCACTAGGAAGGGAAGGGGCCCCTCTCCCCCCCTACAGCCCAGCTCTCATGGAGGGAGGGGGCCTCCAATTTCGTGCTTGCCCAGGGCCCCAGTACACCTTAATCCAGGCCAGGGCTGTCTGCATACTGATTAAGGCATCATGGTGCAGCTCAGTGGAAGTTTGCTTGAATGAAAGCTAAGCAAAAGGGTCTCCAGGATATGGCTCAAGCAGTGAGAGGCCAGTTTGTTAGTCTGTGAGCTTGTCACATTGGGACTTAGTCTTCTTATTGGCCTGTCCGTGGTAGAAAAACTACTGTGATTCTAAGAGCAGGTAGTTTTGTAGGACAAGCAAAGAGCTGGGCTCCAGGAAGTCAGCTGCTTATTCCTGGCATAATGAAAAAAAAGTTGTTTGTTGTGTCCTTGACCTCCTGCCACTCACAACATAACCCACAAGCTCTGCGCTTTCATTTCCCCATCCGTAAACCGAGGACAACCCATTTGGGCTTCACGGGTCTCTAGAATCTGACCGCGCTGGTCGTAAAGCATGGAGGGGACCGAGGTGCGTCCTAGGGGAGCTCAGTGTTTCACAGAAATGCAAAGCGGTGTTGTAGCTGTGACTGCCATGGCTTCCCCTTTGCCAGGGGCTGGACATGGGAAGGGTTTTGCTTTCCCTGACAAATTCTCATCCCTCTAAGTGCCTCCTCCTGCCCGGGGCAGTCATTCAGCTGGGCGCCTTTTCCCTGGTTGAAGTTTCCCCCTCTCCGTTTGTATTGAAGGTATCAAATGTCTCCCATGCAGCCAGCCTGGAGCTGAGAAAAGGAAATATTTTTGGCTCATGCATATAAGATAAAGTCGCTGCAGGAGGCCTGAGCTTGCAGACAGTTTGATGTTATTAATAGCCAAGGGAGCTCGATTTTAATGTGAGAATATTTGCTATCTGCTGTTGACACAATATCACCCTCTGAAGGCGACCAGCCAAACACAGCTTACGGCAGTTGCTTGGGGCTGGCCTATCCCTCCCTTGTCCCCTGCTGAAAAACCCACAGAGGAGGTTAGGAAACCACAGCAGCTTGTCCTGAGAGAACAGCATGTTCCACCGGATGGAGACAGGGGGAAAAGACGGCCAAAACAGGCCACCCTTTAGCCTGGGACACAGCAGGACACTGGGAATTCTTCGGGCTCTCTCTGCAGCCTGTTCCATTCCCTGGGATGCCTTCATGCTGGATGAAGGTGTTAGAGCCTGATTTTTTCAGAGGGGATGCACATTTGCTGCTTTCCCCAATATCAGAAGGGCATGTCAAATATGGAGGCCCTTAACGTGTAGGCAGTGCAACAGGACAGGCCTGAGGAAGGCTGTGGCGTCCCCCGGGTGGCTGCACAAGAGCTGTTCTCACACTCAGGCTTCCCCAGGGCTCTGCCCTGTCACCTCGCCTGCCAATGCCTTGATGTAGAAACTGAAGTTAATTTGGGAGGCTGCCCTCAGAATAGCAGAGTCGGCCTCAGGTGCTTCATTCTGCCCTGCGGTTCACTGAGCTGCCTTGGTCTGTTCTGATGCATTCGGCTCCGGGTGCAAGGCATTTCTCTGTGTCCTTGGCCTCACTCCACCTCACCCTGTGTGTCTCTGTTCTGGGGGCTTGCGCTTCCTCTTAGGGTCTGCTCTTTCTCCGCTGCCCCAACTGGTTCCCTCTGGGTCTGCAATCAGTACCACGGACCCAGTCTCCCTGGGGCCTTGTGTGTAGCCCTTTTATCAGACAGCCGTTATTCTGGCCCTGTTGCTAGCTCTGCTCAGTCCATAGAGTTTGCTTGCTCCTCGGCTCCATCTACTAGGCTTAGATTCATAGATGTTAGGGTCGGAAGGGACTTCAACAGATCATTGAGCCCAAGCCCCTGCCCTGGGCAGGAAAGAGTGCTGGGGTCAGATGACTCCAGCCAGATGTCTATCCAGCCTTCTCTTAAAGACGCCCAAGGTAGAAGAGATCACCACCTCCCTTTGGAAGCCCATTCCAGATTTTGGCCACCCTTACTTGCCCTCAACACAGCCTTTCAGTCCCCCTGTCAGCCCTGCTTCAATGTACTGGGACCCTTGTCAGCGCTACCTGCCTCCTAGTCTTTCATGGGCTCTCTCACAGTAATCCCCTGACCAGTAGTCTTGCACCAGCCCATTGGTTTGCTAGTCAAAATGCTCAGTGCCCCGCCACCAGGCACCCACCATGGTCCTTCTCCCCTCCAGCCACTTAAGGCCCTTATATACATTGAATAATCATAGCAAAAAAATCCTTCCCGAATAAATACAAACAAGGGCACTTCTTCATATTCTGAAATTGAAAATAGGTAGTAGTTATAGAACTGTAGGGCTCCAACCAGACACCGTCAGACTAAGCTTTGTGGCATACAGATTATATTGTCTTTCACCTCCTTGCAATATATAGCCTGGTAGGTTACATTTAAGGCAAAAATTTGCCCTTGCTATCGGGAGCATCTATGAAAGAGGTGAGAGAGAGAGGAAAGAGCCCATTTCATGCCCCCATGTTCCAGACCGTGTGTGTAGCGGAGTGCAAGAGGATCCAGCCCCAGATCATTAATTCTAGATGACATCTGGCATTTCCCCTGATTTGACCACTGAAAGAATGGCAACATTTTGAAGCATAATCCCACAGCAGATACCTTTCTGAAGGCTAGATCAGCTTTTGATCTGATATTCCAGATCAGCCGTGCTCATTTGACTTGACTTAAATGCCAATAGTTAATATAATTTTTCCAACCTTGTTCTGGCAGGATGGCTACTGGGCTTTTTCTTTCAAATATGAACAAAAAGTAATTAAAGATGATTGTGACTCTTGCTAGAGGGGGAATGCAAGAATCCCCTCACTTCTCGTATTCAAAACCTCTCTGCATTTCATAGGTCTTGCTTGTGTGCTAAAATAAAAGGGGGTTTCTGCTTTCATTACAAAACATATTTGTATTTCAGTCTGAAAGGGCTTCTCATTTGGGAACTCCCTGGTGGCCAGCAGTCTTTCCTGAGTCTGGTGTTACTTAGCCAGCATTTTTTTAAATGTATTGCCTTAGGGGTACAAATGCTATTCAATAGGCAAGACAGGGGTTAAAACTGCTTAAAGAACAAAACTCCATTAGAATGCTTTATTAGTATCTTGGGAAATTACTTTTAAAATATATGCACACAATATAAGCAACAGTAACATACTTTTAACAGTCTATAGGTAAAAAGTAATGATGTTTTAAAAAATTACACCAGTTTTGCAAACTCAGGTGTACTGAGAGCATGTGAAACACAACTTATATTTTTGTCATATGCAAGGTGTAAAAAATACTCTTTAGCTGGCTAAATGTGGAGGCTTTAATGGCACATTTGTTATACACTCAGACAATTCTATTAAAATTAGTGTTTTCTTTGGCGAACCCAAGTTTTCAGCATTATACAATAATGAGGATGTTTTCATAAAATGCCTTCATTTTAGTGGTTAATGGACACATATATACATATTATATGACAACAAATTAGTCTAACCCAGGGGTGGGCAATTATTCCAGCTAGAGGGCTGCTTAATGAGTTTTGGTGAGCTGTCTAGGGCCACAAGAGTAGCCCCGTCCCTTGATGGGAGCCCCACCCCTGGTCACCATCTTGGGATCAGAAGCCCTACCTCTGCCTCAGAAGTATTCCTTTCGGGAGGGAGGGTGCTGCTATCTTGAAACCAAAAAAACCCTCAAATCATATACTAAAAAATAAAGCATCAACTATAATGTATTTTAATTTTATTTAAAAATATTTTTGTCCTGATTTAC